TAATATTGTAATGAAACTGTAACTAAAACAAGTGTTTTAAATATTTTCAGTAATTTATGTATTGTATAGTATATTGAATACAATTAGTAAGTATGAGCTGATTGTTGCATTGCACCAATTCATAGAAACAAGATATTACAATATTTGGAGACTAGGAAAGAAATAATACGTGCATACATTAAAACTGCTATGAGTTAAACTGATGCAAATAAGCTTAAAAAAAAGGCCTTAACCAATTGATCAATAATAATTGCCACTAATTTTATCATTTTTTTATCATTACATGTTAGTGACTCAAATATACTTTAAACTTAACGTATCTTTTAACTTGTACTCGTAGAACAGGTAGGAAGCTCTTTAAATAATGTTAATCAAATACGATTGATACTATTTCTACAACCAAATGGCTAGTCTCATTGAGTTCATATATATAAATAAATACTGTTTTTTACTTCGAATACTTTTTGAAAAAGCCAACGATGTACTAGCTGTATATCATTGCCTTTTTTCAAAAAGTCCACCTTTCGAACGTTTTTTTTTTAACGTTCTTAAGCCTAGTGAAGATTTGGTCGAAAATTTGCTCATGTCAGGTTCTGCCTTTAGAAGCATGCGAATAAAATTTATGACAAATTCTTCTACACGATTACGGATATACGATACTTAGTTTGGAAACTTAACATTACTTACCTACTAGCAAATAATTTAATTTATCACATCTCACCGCTTGATCGACGTTTGACATCAAAACGGTAACTGGTGCGTAAATGGTCATCAAAATTGATACATATATATTTTTATGTACCTAAATACTTGTTATGAGACTTGGTGGATATAAATGTAATGATTTTATCCTTGAACGAGTTAAGTTGCCTATGAAATCAATATAAAGGAAAAGATACAGAAAAGACGTCCGGAAGGCGTAGTGATTTGTGTATTGCGGACTGCTATTCCAAAGGTCGCGGGTTCTATTCGCGCTCAAGTCAAACATTTGTGTTCATGAACATTTAATGTTTGATTTGGTCTGGGTGTTTCTAGATGTAATAACTATGTATTTACAAAAATAAATATACGAGTATATGTATTTATATCAGTTGTCTAGTACCCATAGTACAAGCTCTGTTTAGTTTGGGAGTAGATGACGTTCAGCAGCACACAACACAGATGTGTGAAGTTATTATCCGTGTCCGTGTATACTCAGGAAGGCACAAGGGAGAACTGTCCTGTGCAGTGCACTGTGTAGTGCACACTTCCAAAAGGCTTTGCCTTGTTGGCAATAGGTATATACCTATTGTCAACATATTATGCTAAGATGCTCACCAATAGTTCCCTAATGCAATGCGAGAGTCCGACGCTATTTATACATTGATTATTATTACTTGTTTTCATGTGATTTTCAATAAGAGATATACACTCAACTAAGGTATTCTCATAATATACCAAATGTAAACTAATAGGTGGGTTTAAAGGTAGTCAAATTAGCAATGCTGCTCTTATTCTCTTTGAGTATGTTACCTTAGCACTCCATAAAGTAATAGGAGCATAAAGATACTATCACCGTTTTTATAATTGAATCAAACTCACCATATTTACAACTTATCTTTACGCATAAGTTGTTAAAAGTTTGCGTCATGGAATTTATTCCATTAGAATCCATATAATTACATAATAATAAGTGGCCTTGTTTTTTCATTGAAGTGGTTTAAAATATATATATATTTTTCATCTTAACACTTGGATTTGGAGTAGCTCAACTAATGTATTTATGTATTTAGCCATATATGCACATAAAGACTGCAGCCGCAATAACTCACTATAAGACTCCGTAGTGTTGCATCTTAAATACGCATTTTCAGTTGAGAGGTATTATTATTGTAAATATTTATTCTATAGAAATTATGGTATATATTTTATTCTGTATGTATATTACATAAATATGTATTTATCTATGTAGGTACTTTTAAATAGCACTATTAAGTGTTATTTTTATAATAAATGTAAATGGTTAGTTCATAGCTTAATTGTACATATGCACCTGCCATGTGAACCATCCAAAGGTTGACTGGTAGATAATGCCATGTGGCATTAAGTCCGCCTTGTGCAAAATGTAATGGAGGAAGTGTAAAATAAATAATAATAATATTCGTAGAAATTGTTACATTATATGCGAACATTATTTATTCCGACCTACCTTATATAAGGCGCGTATCACCATTCGCTTTATCGTTTTACTAAAGATATTACGAACCATAACGTTAATAAAAAACATGAATAAGACTCAGTAAAGATACCCTTGTTGCTATGTAATTGTCTTAATATTTCAACAAAATTGACTCCGAATCGCTTGACCTTTTGCAATGACAAAAATTATGCTCCCTTATTAAGTTCAATTTGGCTTCTTGTTATGTATTTACCGTACCATTAAAAAGTATTAAAAAACACGCACTCCGTTACTAGACGTATCTTGTAGAGATTTTTGACATTGTTTATTTCATCACGTATTTGGGTCAAAACGACGTTATGTCAATAAGCCACTACGTCGCGTTGGCAAACACCCAATATTTTACGCCTATACATTTTAATGTATGAAATACAACACTGACAAATTGTGCTGCTTTAACGCATCGTAAATTGTGTCATTCGTCATTTGTTGGTATTATTATCTTTTTAGGGCCTTTAGGTATACTCTTGGGTTATGTTGGTGTGTTGCTGTTGCTTTGAATTACAGAATGCATATAGGCTGTTTGTTCGGTGTAAAAATTGTTGTCTATAATTGATGTATAATAAGTGAGTTGAAATAATATTCTTTTGCTTATCTGGATAGACTAAGCAAAACAGACGATACTTCTATTAAAAGGTATACCTACCCTTAACAATACACCCATAGATTACTTTTATTACATAACCAGTAGACTGCCAATTAAACACAAACGTAATAACAATAATTCCATAACTGTCTTGTAAGTTGTTAAGTCTCGAACAATGCAATGAAAGTTAGCTCAGTCAAAATGAAAAATATGGTAATACCTTCTCAAGTAGCCGTGATAAATTGTTTTGGTTCCATAATATCCAAATATAATTGTTCTAAGTACATACATTTTTCTTACCTTGATGATAAACTATAAACTCAATTGTAAAATAAAGATTCTAACAGGATTATATACAGATATCTATATGTAGGTATATCTCCACAACAATCGACGTGACTGTCATAGCAATAGATTATGTTTGCGCACTGCTAAGACAACACTTATGAGTAAAAGCATATTCTGCAGTGCTAAACTCATATAAGACTCATTAAACGACACCTAAAAGTCCTTTTATTATCAAATTGTTATTATACAATAAGGGTGTTTCTTAATGATAAACAAATAATGTAATTGTATTATTATTATTTTTTATTTTTTATTTACTATTGTCATAATTATTATTTTTGACTACATAAATTTATGAGAAATAGAAATAAACTTGTGGTACCTCGGCCTCTAGGCTCAAAAAGATAAACAAGTCGTTTCGAGGTCAATGTATTCGATTTTATAGTAAAATCCCAAATATAATTCAAGACTTAAGTGTTAACAAATCCGCAATAAACCGTAAATTATGTCAAAAAGCTTATTACTCAATTGCGGATTACATAGACTTACTATTTGACAAAACAGATATTGTTGGGATTGTGTGTGTAGATCTATAAAAGAGTCTACATAAAAGACGATTTCAAACCATTTTTAAATATTTATGAAATATTTGTGACTACATTTTATTTTTTCCTTGGCAAGACTTCCTTTGACTTGAAAAAACTGGATAAGGCGTACATTGGAAGGAACCTGTCCGCTGTTGACCGTGAAAGGAAAATTATCATATAAATATTAGATTCTTATAGCTTACGGTAAACTAGCTATACATACTATACTTTACCCATTCGCATTTAGTTACCAATTTATCGCAATCGTCTTATTACTGTTGCCCCAGCCTTTACTTTATAACATTTTACTATCAACATTATATCTTACTAGATTAGAGACATCTTCAACATTATGTGTCATCATTAAATTATATTATAACGTTGCAATATGGTCCACTAAGCACGGCTTCCATCAGGTAGCTGCAATAAATGCCAAGCTCTATTTACTGGTAGCATTGTGATGCGTGCGAGATATAGCCGACTTGTTCACCTTTCTTCTTTCAATATTTCATAACTAGTTGTACATAATCTGTATTGTACTTTAAACTTGTTTAGAGGTATAAGTGCAATGATTATTCTTGTATATGTTAAGCTCAGTAATGTAGTTGTAAGTTTACACTGCAATATATCACATACCGTTTGATGAAAGTTTGTTTTGAGTTTGTTAGAGGTTATATTTTTTTGTGTATGGGATGATGATCACGTTAAGATGTTTATGTTAAGGTTAAAATATGGCTGGGTATGTCGTAAATAGTAAGCTTTCCAGCTCGATTGACTGCTATTTTATCACTTGTGATGCAGCTACTGCACAGTCATAATTTATAGCTGAGATGAGCATTCGGCGTTATGGTAGTAGCATGCAGGCAATTGCTAAAATTAAACGAAAATTATCGAAGCTAAAAACAGCAAGTCATAATGAAAGACAAATCATTCTTCTTTCCTACATCCTAAGTAATATTATAAATACGAAAGTAAAGCAACAACAAGTAGTCAGAGGCACAGAAATAAACATAGGGTTGAAAAAATCTGCACTTACCCCCGTAAGTTATACGATATACGATGCTGCAGGAAATAGCTAGTTAATGGGTATAACCATTTATTGCCTTGATTTGTGTGCGTGTATATTCTTATGGATGTTGTATAGTATAGTTGAGTTGACATGTTTTTATTATTACACTTGTTCTAATTTTGAAGTGGAGACAAGAGAACGATGTTTTCTTTGTATCCTGCCGCGACTGATAAAATTATTACTAATTTGTTTCATCGTTGTTACAGGAGGAACTGACGAATGCCAAGGTAGTCTACACATAAACAAACAAACATGAGATTCTCGTCGAGGTCCCAGGTACGTTTCAATAAAAATGTTACACATTCGATAGCATCTCATCTGAAGTAACATCACATGACCTTGACAGTTCTAACCAATTTGCACTGTGTGAATAATTATTAAGTTCAATCTTCTAATTCTTTTGACTGACTTGATTAAATCTTCAAGATTCTCGATATAACCTTCAAATTTCATAATTGTATGTTTAGAAATATAATTAATTACAACACGTAAAGTAAAATGTGTAAACAATGGCGACTGGCAAAAATAAAAGTACGCAATTTACAAAACATTAAACAAACGACATTTTGTGAAAACTGGTATGCAATGACAATATGGTAGTTAAAGGATGTTTTCATCAGAAAGATAGGCAAAAAGCTAAGTACGTCAAGGTTATAAGATAAAGATGTATTCATGCATAAAGCTACATATCTAGTTGCATAAAACTGTGTTAATTAAAGTTTAAAAAATAATATGTAGAGGCTGACTGATTGCATTAACTTGTACACTGCTGCTAATTTAAGCCGCTACAATACATGTAGTTCTCTCTCGATATTTAACACGTTTTGTATCTAAATATTAAAAAGATGATTTTATTGCTTTGTGCACCTTTAATGCTTTTAACTCCTGAAAGTTGTAGAATAAATCAAAATCATTTAAGTAAATTCAAGACGAATTAGTGGTATTTGGAATTGCTTTAAATTTTTTTTTACTATGTTTCATTTTTTAATATGTAGTCGGAGAGCCATATGAGCTGACGTCCGCGAGGGCCGGACGTCACCTAAATAGAGAGTGTACCCTAAGGTGGTGTTCGCGCCGTTGCGGGCAGGCGCTAGGAGGGCTCCGGATGTCTTAATTAATGTCCCGGATCAATCCTATTATAGGCGCAAAGTGGCACACAGTATGGTCCGATTCCGACACACGTTTTTTTTTGTCAGGAATAAATGCCACCTTGTTAAGAATAACTTCATTGGTAACATTTGTCACGCTATGAAACAACAGACTTAAGATCCATTTAAGAAAGGCCATTTGCTAAGTAGGCAATTTAAGCCCAAATCATGGGTCATTGAAGACACAGTCGGAAAATGTGAGCGAGTGCACAAGGCTTGGACTCAGTCAATCATCCTTTCACTACACAAAAAGGGTTCGACCAAAAAAAGCGCTTTTTTTTTTAATTTTATTATTAAAAAATTTCTTATTATTCGCTTATTTTATTTAAAAATTTCTTATTCAAGCAAGGTCTTGCTGTATATCATTTATAACCGGGTCCACTACTACTTTGACTGGCAGATCCCGCAAGAACAGGCTGGCTTTGTTAAGGGGAAAAGGCACCCGTGAAAAAATACAAGCATGTCAAGCAGATTGTGGAGAAATGTTTGAGAAAAAGGAGAAATTTTGTTGATTACAGCAAGGCTTTCGATTGTGTCAAGTGAGGGTCTTATCGAAACTGGGTGTACCTCATAACTTAACTGCTCTCTTGCAGTCACTTTATCATAACAGCCAAGGAATGGTGAGGGTCGGCGGGACGTTATCTAAACCGTTCAGTTTCGAAAAGGGAGTTCATCAGAGCTGCATCCTTTCACCCATCCTCTTCAATATATACGGTGAATATATAATGAGGCGTATCTGCGATGGCTGGGGTGGAGGCATGACTATCGGTGGTCGCAAAATTTGTAATTTGCGATATGCAGACGATACCACCTTACTAGTGGCAACTGAAGCAGAGGTGATTACCTATTTGGATAGGACAGAACTCATCAGCACTGAAATGGGTATCTCGATAAACAGGTCCAAAACCAAGATGGTCATAGATCGCACAGGCAAACTTGAGCTCACCGGGAATCTTGTCTTAGAGGTAGTCGACAACTTTGTATACCTGGACGCAAGCATAAGTAGTAAATGGCTAATGGCTAAATGCAAAAACGAGATAAGAAGAAGAATTGGAATGGCAAAGGGTGGCCCCCCTTGGCCCAACTTTATAGGATATGGAAGGACAAAAACATCTCCCTGCAAACCAAGACCAATCTTGTACGTACTCTGGTGTTCTCCATATTATTGTACGGCGCGGAGACGAGGACCCTGAAGAAAGCTGATCGAGACCGTATTGATGCATGGACACTGAAGAAAGATGTGGTGCTGGCGAAATATGCTAGGTATTCCCTGGACTGCACATCACACCAACGAGTCAATCCTGCAAGAAATCAAGATACAGACATGACTTTCTACCATTTGCCTGCTTAGAGTTCTGGAATACTTCGGCCACATTCTAGAAAGGACGGCTACTTGCAGATGTTAATGTTCACGGGCAAAGTGGATGGAAAAAGACCACGAGGTAGAATCCCAAAACGCTAGACTGATCATATCCGCACTATTCTCGACACCACAGTCCACGATGCTCTACACTTATCGGGGGATAGGGACGGGTGGCGTCGAGTGATCCTCACCAAACTCTTAACTACGAGGACACGGTCACGACCCTCAGCATTGAGGCAATCGAAGCGAGGAGGAGGATTATCAATGCAGTTTAAATTTAAATTAAAAATATTTTGATAGCGGTAACATTTACAACTATTCATATTATATTACATAAAGTTACCGATATTAATGTTACTGTTATAATTTTTATAAATTTATTTATTATAAACAATAACTCAACTTAAATAATATCTATAATTGAACGTACAATATTTATTATAAACAACTTATTCAAGTTCATACCATTCCAGTTCCATATTATTATGCACGCGTAATGAGAATGGGTACTCAAAGTTGTAATGCACCATAATTACGGATTGGTTATTATTTTTTAATCGATTCACACCGTATCTTAAATAAGATTAGCTTTCGTCCGCGGCTCCACCCACGTGTATGTCGGTTATTGTGGTAAAAAGTAGCCTAAGCCCTTCCTCAAGAAACAAAATATTTCCTCAGTTTAACCATTTAGCCGTGAAAGCGTAACAGACAGACAGAGTTACTTTCGCATTTCTAATATTAGTAGGGACTGAATCGTGTAGAGGCTACAATAGCAGCATTTTTCAATGTCATAGGCATGTTAATATGCCATTAAGCAGTGGTTCTGGCTCATAATTATACGAAGGAATTTTATTCAATATAAGGTCCTCTTGTAAATGACTTGAGATTTGATGCGTATAAATTGGCTGTACATGATTACATTGTGATACTGTAATGACAAGATAATAATAGTTATTTTCAGCATGTTTTGTTTTTTCTAAATTCTATTATGGTACTTAAGTTTAAAAAAAAAACAACTTTTGCGGGATAAATAAGTCCGTGGAAATGTAGCATTTGAGTCTTATAAAATACTCATCGATAATCGATTTAAAAGTGATCACCCACAGCAAATTTATTCTTGTACTGAGTGTAATTTATCCACAATGTGAATGTATTTAGAAATATATATGAGTATGTTAAGTCAGTGCAATCGCTACCTTATTTGGGATCAGACGAGATGTGTTAACAAATAATTATTAATTATTAGCAATCCATTTTACATTATAACTACGTAAATATGTGACAGTCAGTTGACATTATTAATTTCCCTGTTCTGGGGGTTTAATGTTTCTGCACAAACAGTTCTATTTCACAAGTAACCATCGATCCTGTTAAAAGAAAAGATTAAGATCAGCTAACGTTGTTCAAGATGATATACATGACCAAAAAGTTCTATAAAGAATTTAAATTAAAATCTTGTAGATTGCAATTTACAAGAATTTATGATGTCTGATGTTATCTAAGCATGATTTGCGAAAGAATATAAGGATGAATAGAACAAACAATGTTGGTCTTCGAAATGTTTTTACGGTTCTCAAGCAGCCATTAAAAGGTTAATATGAAGCGATTGTATCAACAGGACAATGAACATCTGCGTCTCGCAGATGACATTATTAAGCGCTAAATTTTAAAGCGCACTTAAGTTTCATTACAAAAATTTAATTATTCTATTCTATTCACATGTTGTGCTTTAATTAAACAGATTTAAAGACTACCAACAAAATATGTATAAGAAAACAACAATATTATTTAAAGGAATTAATTAATAAACTACCTAAAATATACTATGTGATAATAAAAGAAAGAAGTGGAGATTTCCATAAAGCTTTCGATACATTTTTTTAATTGATTAGTTACTGAGAATTCCATCGTTTCTATGCCGATTCAGTAGTGTTATGAATGCTTCGACGCATAAGTCTCGCTGATGGTCGCTTAGTTCGTGTAGCACTCACTTATCAAGCGTTTTTTCGATTTAATGCAAGTGCTTCAAAGTTGTTTTGACACTAACTCCAAAGCCCGCAGCAAGCTCAGCCGTAAATTGAGTTGCATCTGCATCCACTTCAATTCGTCGTTGTCGACTATAGTTACCGGCCGACCGCGAGACTCGTTCTTCAACTCACATTTTCCAGATCTAAAACGATTAAACTTATATTGGACCGTGATTATGCAAGCAGTGGTAGGCTCGTGCACGTTGTTAACGTTTCGTGTTGTTTGCGCAGCGGTATTTCCACATAGGAACTCATTATTCGAAAATTGGATGAATTATTATTTTATCCATGGTGTCAAAAAAAGTAACTACCACAATTTCACAAAAATACTAAATTTTAAATTAAAATGTTGGCTTTCGAATAAGCTTTATTTCAATCCACAGATAATTAAATTTGAATATACTGGTTTTCATAATCTCCAACTTCATAGGTAAAGACCTATTCTGACACCTTTTCACTTTTAAACTTTTGAATGGTAGTGCAACAAATAAGAGGTGACGCTTTTTATGTTTAGCCTATTTAATCTGTTGACAAATACTTGCCTTACATATCTTATATATATGAACATACTTATTTAGCATCTAGAACTCATTGGTATACAATTTAGCAGTATCTTGTACACACAAGTAAAACGAGACGAGAGGCCCTAATTTTTTTTTGTTTCCCTAGTTATTGCTGACATGCCTGATAGTGTACGCTTCAAGCGCACAAGCGATCATGGTGAAGTTTGGCACAAAAGGAGGCCCGATTGAGCCACCTACACCGGAGCCGACGCCGTTGCCGCAACCCTACCGCGTCCCGGCTCCGGTTTGGGAGGAGCGCTCTAATGACACCCCTGATCCTAACGCTCAATGGTAAAAACAATGCTAAAAATAAATTTCTATCTAGTATCTAGTTATCATTAATTATCTTACTTTAAAATGGCGTAGGTATGTGAAAAAAGTTCTAGCCACCTCTATTATTCACTAATACTTTGCAAAGTTTTATTTCGTTTTGATAGACACTTAGAACTAAAATTAAGATTTTTTTTGCAGGCGTCCTCCGTTCTTCGTACCTCAACCGAGATATACTCACGTTGTATACAATCCGTCGACCCTCCCTCCTATTCCACTAAACAATGCTCAACGTTTCGTCAATGCTTACATCCCTAAAAATCAAGCCATCAAAACTGAAAATATTGGCAACCCAATAATCCTCAGCTCACAAACCTTACCTGGAGTAGGCCTCCGATATTTTGTCCCCTACACGCGAGAGCAACAAAAACCTGCAAAACAAGAAGATGCTAAGTTAAATCACGTAGAAAGTGATTTATCAGAGACAGCTCGTGAGTCCTCCGATGATTTCCAGTGGAAATATGAAAAAGAAGCTACGAGACGCTTGATAAGAAACAATCTAGAAGTAAGTGAAATAAACAAGACCTTGTGCACCCTGCAGTAAAAGGGATAAACGCCTTACTTTATAAACGAAAAATATGTCGAAACTTAAAGTTTCTGATATTTCAGAAGATATAAGGAGCATTTCGGTAGTTCTCTATAGTTTGCGGCTTGTTACCCAACCTGTCAAAACTGTTAAGAAATCTAGTCATTGTAGTCTTGGGATAAGACTGATTTGATAAAAGTTATTTCCAAACAGTCTAAGTCCAACAGGTTATTGCATTAAGTAAATATATTGAGACAATGTCGAAACAGATTACTAAACTTTTTAAAGCTCTGCTTGTTTTGCAAAATTATTGATCTTAAGTGCTAACTTGACATTGAAATTGTTGATAAGTTTAAATTAATAATTAAGCTGTAGTAGACTGCCTTTTCTGCCTAATCTAAAACATTGCAGTTTATTAATTTTGTCAAAGGGATACTCACCGAATACCAATGTTCTAAGGCACTTCTAGCAGAAATATAAGCTTCAAATTTTTATCACAATTAGATAACTCTGTGAAGCAAAGAAAAACTCTAACATACCACGATTTTAGTGACATGGTCTTAATATATACACACAGAAAAAGCGTGGGTGCTTTTCTAGATATTTTATAATAAAATAACTTACTTTTACCGATATCTGAACAAGAAAATATTTTTACAACGATTAACATCTTGCACCGCACGCATTTTTACGGTAAAATAATTTTTCTTTTTGAACTAATCGAAACTGATTTTCTAGTTTTTAGTTCTGCTAGTTACAAAAGCGTGTTGTTACACTAGCTTATGTTTGTTCTAATAAGTGATCATAAGTCTAGATTTTATTTATTTATACACGCACACTTATAGGCATTGATGTTTGTTATACACATACGATATACTGTGTATCTATGTGAAAGAAGAAATTTGAAACAATCATCCTTTTTATTACTAAGCATGTTTTTTTTTGTTTTCAGGGAACAGCTAGAGCACCAGGACGCCTTGTTTACCAATTCCCAGCCTACGTCCAGCCCCAACATCGCTAAGGTTACCAAGTTCTTTGCAACATGTACTGCATGTTGCAAAATGAACGCAACAAGTAACTGTGATGTTTTAAATAGAACACTAGTGTAAGACAAAAGTGCCAGATGAAATATGTTTAAATAAAATCTTTTAGTGACCGTCGCTCGTCGGTCTAAAGTGTTCCGTAATCGTACGGTGTAACGAAATTAAAGTCTGGATTACATATTTATGATAATGTAAATCTTTGATAAGGACGCTTCCCTGTACAATTGTACTGCTATACATTTTTACATATTTAGACTAAATCTATTATAATTTAATCTATTGTAATAAGTAAATTAACAAAATACACACAGTTCTGTATATTGTCCTGATTTTCGTTGATAACCTTCCTATGGTAAGATAACAAATGAACACATTGTTAACCTTTTATTAAAACCTTTTTTGTACAGGTACCGGTTCTGTACCTTTTTTGAATTGATGACGTAATTGAATGTTGAGTATTGTTGGTTTGAATAAATTGTAATTATGTTTTTTTATCTGAATAACAGATGGCTATGGAACAAATTTAAATACTAAACATCGTTATGCCCTTCACGCTTTAGAACGTCATCAATATGAATCATCATCAACAAATATGAATAAAGTTCCTGTGAAGCCTAATTTCAGAGTTTATGTAAAGTTCACATTACGATTGTGAGAGCTAATAATGCCGCTAATAGGGTTTTAATAAAAGGTTTCTTGTATCATTAGTCAGGACTAATTTAATAAATGAAATCACCATGACACGTTACAGACTTAATGATGTCATATTTGACGTCATGTTCAAGACATTGATATCAAGGTTATATTTAGTTAGAAAGATTAAATGCAAAAAGCATTACATAACTTGCATTGTGTTACTTGCTGTGACACATTTTGCGTGGTCGTTAGATGAGAAAATAGTTTTCTCATCTGAGTACCGTCGGATAAACTCTCAAAATGATTTTTAAAATGGCAATATGCATTTGAATCCAGAGAGTGTAACGAAACATCTTTGTTCTTGGTAATGAATCTCTATCGCTATGAAAAGTGGTAATTGTTGTGTTGTTTAGACTTTCAAACCCGTTGTGAATAAATAATTTTTATTTTGAATGATACAATGTATGTTTGTTATTCATTGAAAATATAAATAAAATATTTCGTTTTGTTATTTTCTTTTAAAGATCCATGTTTCTTATTAGAATGTAAGTTTGTCACTAGCTGTACTTATGCTTGTAAATATGTAAAATAAAGAAATAATGAAAAAAAATAAAGTGATTTTATTTCAATATTCACTCCATTACTATAAAAAGATTCTTATCACTCTAAAATTATGACTATAATGTCATTGTATCACATTAAATCTATATTAAGTCTACAAAACCTCTGTGTTCTGTTTTTGTATAGATATAATTAAAAAATAATTCTGAAATACGATACTTGTGCGCAAGATAGGCGATATCTTTACCACTTCATGTAATTAAAACTAAAGATAAAATGTTTGGCCAGTCCAGTGTATCATCGATACATGCAGATTGTGTCCGAGATCCGACATTCTTCGGATATTTTGAAGTAGCTTTAGCAATTACAATTGTGCCACATCTATATAAATATTTTACTTTTTAAGACAGCACCCAAACTCAAAACGACAATTTTTAGATCACACAAAGTATCGTCCCATGTGGGGATCGAAAACACAACACTCACAGTAGTAGGAAGCGGCGTGGTGACCGTGTATCTACTATCTGTGATTCTAATAAACTATAGAGAATTCAATTTCTCTAGCATCCAACAACGCAGAATGGTTTTGAACCAAAGGGCATCATTCAAAATGTACCCAAAAATTAAAGTGCCGGCCAGTAAAAAAAAAACTGTGTCATCTTACGGCAAATTATCTTTTAACTTTTTTTGTATTATTACAACAAACGTCTACGACCAACTTTTAGACCCAAAATGGATTTTCTAAAAACATAAAATGAGCATTTACATTAATGTATCAATTAAATATTTCTGAATAATTAAAAACCTAAACAAGGCAAGACCATCGAAATGAGACCTGCGGAATTATAACAAATGAATAAAGCCACGTAGGTAATGAAATGAAGTCTTTTTCTTTACATATATTTTATAACAAATATATACATATAAATACCTACATATAAATACCTACGTAGGTACTTAGGTACCTAGTGATGATTGTATATAATTAGACTCTTTGTCATATTATATTATTATTAAGCGAGATTAAGTTATTCTTTATCATCATTATTTGATTTTTGCTATAGTAATGTAGTAAAAAATGTTCAGACGAACTCGTATAAATGCAATTTTATATTTTTTCTAAGTCATATAACTCATAAGTAATCGGTCTTAGCTCTTAGCCGTCTAAAGAAAAAAATCTTGGAATGTCTTTCTCTAACCGATAAAACCATTTTTTTCGTTGGCCGGCACAATTTTTTTTGGGTACTTTTTGTACGGAGCGTGAATGATGTCCTTTATGAGTGAAGAAATTAGTTGTTTACAATTCACACACATGTAAACGTATAATAATACACTTAAAGGAATAACCTTTGATCAAGGAATAACACATACATACATGTGTATGTGTTACGGCCAGGCCATACCTGGCCATAACACTTATACATATTTCGATTGCTGTGTGTACATACGAACGTTTATATATAATGTTAAATCTATTATTCTATTTTTAAATGTCAGTACTTTGAATTGAAAATCGTTTGACTAATTAACCTTCTTAAAGGTAATCTCAGATAGAGGTTCCTATTTTATGGAAACAAGACAAGTGTACTTAACTTATAGAGTTACAACATTTCGTGAGACGGAGGTTAAAATTAAGTAATTAAAATTGCATTAGTCAATGAAGTTAGATCATTATTTAGACAAACTTCAAAGCTGTGAGCAGACAATGAATTGTGAAAAATCTATTGTGTCGGGTCTCTAATCGTCTAACGCTTACTTTGTGTGAAAGACTATCATCAAAACGGATTGCGCATTAATGTATATTTTTCCGGACCGCTTATTCAATGGCTTAAAGTTATTACCTATTGAGATTAGAGATCTTATCTTAAATTCTATTTTCCCTAAGTCAATTTTCCGCCATCGTTCTACACGGTAAAATTTTCATCCTCCATTACTGTGCACATTTCGAGACACTTTGCCCCGCCCAACCAATCTGTGGTTATCGTCTGCGGTATTTCCGGACCGACCTTAAAACCTTCAAGAAAAGAGCGTACTCCTTCCTAAAAAGCCGGCAACGCGTTTGTGAGTCCTGAGTTGCAGACGTTCATTTGCGGCGATGGTCACTTTTCATCAGGTGACCCGTCTGCTAGTCTGCCCCCTCTATCATAAAAAAAAGATACCTAACCAGTAATCGCGGTGATCCGAAGCTACAACAGATAAACATACACATTTTTTCAACATTAAGTTGTTTCCGATAACGTAATAAATAGAGGGCAGGCCCATTACCAACACTTTGGGAACGGGTTTTTGATAGTGTCAAGAACGAAATGCAATGGAATATACTTTTCGTTCATTGTATTTCATTCTTGTCTATGTTTTGCCTTACTTATATTTTGTATTTATGGGTCACATTCCCGGTTGTTGATTACCGGAAATGTAACAGTTACAAATATAACATTTTATAAATGTCGTCTAATAGAAAGAAGACATTTATAGTTAAAAAGTAATTCTGTAGCCATGTACACTACACAAATGAGAAGGCTCTGGTGTCAATGTATCCTGACTAGCAATATTATCGTCCTCGTTGATATAATGGTCAAGGTTAACGGGGTCTTCTGACTTAGTTCGATAAAAACCCGTTCGTAAAATGCATTTAGCTTAATGTAAAGTTTGCATAAAAATCAACATTGTTTTTAACACATTAAAATATCATATTTTAGTATCTACAAAATACACCACAAAGTCGTAAAATAAATAATAATGAATTTCTTAAAACACAAATGAAACTTCGTTTACTATTTTATAATATGTTAAGAAGGTTTGATTAACCGAATTTCCTTAAGGAAATTAATAGCTACTTTACAAAGTGTTACCTTCAATTATGGTCAAAGAATATTTAAAAATAACTCATCCTTCCTCTATTACGATTTAATTAACAATCAAGGTCATTATTTTTAAATTTGTCTAATCTGTGTTTGACTGATATAATGTTAATGAAAAAACAAACATATACAAACCGTTCAAGGTCGATTGATACAAGTACAAGGTCCTACTATGAAGTAGCAATTGTGTAATCTATACTAATATTATAAAGCTGAAGAGTTTGTTTGTTTGTTTGTTTGTTTGTTTGTTTGAACGCGCTAATCTCAGGAACTACTGGTCCGATTTGAAAAATTCTTTCAGTGTTAGATAGCCCATTTATCGAGAAAGGCTATAGGCTATATATCATCACGCTAAGACCAATAGGAGCGGAGCACCAATTAAGAATGTTTCAAAAACGGAGAAAATTTATTACTATTGAGAGACGCAGACGAAGTTGCGCGGGTCAGCTAGTAGAGAATACAGTCGAACTGCGATGAATAGATTACAAACTTAATTTCTACCCAAGAAAGTAGCCATGGTGGAGTAGGGTAAGACACTAGTCTCACTCGGTATGCTGTATTTGGCAACCGAATATGAATTGGTGTAAAAATGAGTGAAGATTCTTTCTTTGTTGATTAATGCCTTAAGTACCTACCTAATTAATCGTTTGCTTGCCTAAAAATGTACTTACGTAAATTGTCTACGTTTTAAATAGATTCACCCAGAATCCTCGCACTATTACTGAAATAAATGCTACGACGTAAACAGATTTCTTTAAAATACAAATTGGCTGGAGACTCTTAGAATCAGTAGAGACTAGAAAATCGCAGAACAGCGAAAATATCACAATAAATTTCAACTCTGGTTATTTTATTAAGTGACTCATTTATAAACTCAATAACTAAGTACACTCTAAAACAATAACCTCTGTTAGGTCGGG